AAAAGGCATACGAGAAGGAGGTGGCTGAGGAGCCAGGGCCTCCCTGAAGGAGCCAGGGCCTCCCTCAAGCCACCGCTGAATCGCATGCAAGGTGGATTTTTCCTGCTCGAGCGGCGATCAAGACTCAATGAAACTCCACTCCGCGATTCTGATTCTCTTCCTGGTGAAATCCCGAGGGACCGCTCCACGTTTCTTATCGGGTCTGAGAGCTTCTCTATGTTTTTACTCTGTTCATTTTTCGGTTGGGTTTTTCCTGCTGGATCGGTTTTTCCTCGTATCCTCCGATCGGGAATGTTTCCTGGTATATGGATATTTTCGCTCTCGTGAGAATTGCCAATTAATTAAAAAACATTCTGCTTTTTTAAGTTTGATTAGCGTTTTATCCTATTGAAGCGAATAATGTTGGCAAATCGGCTCGATGGGACCGATCGGACATCGGGCCCGTGGAGAATTTCAGCGATGGAGTTTCCGGTAGGGAGCCAGCGAATCTGAGACCGCGAATTTTGAAGCTCAGTGGCCGAAGCGGCACGATCGGCGATCGCGTGAGATGGCCGCGATGGGCGACCGAATCGGCCGGGAAGGCGTTCCGTTCTGTAATTTTTTTTTTTTTTGGGAACTTTTTCCGACCCAATAATTATTCACCTCATTCGCGAAAATCCGTTTCTCGGAATGACAAACACAGATTAGCCTCTTGTGCATTTGGATGCGAAACGTTTTCGAGTGCCTTCGCTTCCCGTCAAACCTTTCTTCGAAAGGCACTTTCATCTCGTTTAATCGTTGGGCTAGAAGTCAACTAATCTGCTTTAATCTGCTTTAATCCGTTTTTCCTGCATCGAGATCGAGCGGGTATCCCGTCACTTCATGAATATATAATATTTAAAAAAAATTATAATTAATTCGTTGAAGGGGGAAGGCCTTTGGGAAGTGGGTCAGGTGACCCGCTGAAGTTCGTGTCACGTGACACAATCGTGGGTCGTGACACGCCCGAGTATCAATGTAAAAATTTGCGAGAAGAGGTCTGTTTCCGGCTCAAAGACGGGAGGAAGTGGGTTGCTCGAGGTTGCCGGGCGACAGTTGCGAACAGAGATGATCCCAATGCACCATCAACAGCTTAATTGGGGTTAGATAATAAATTTTGCTTAATAATACGAACTTTTCGAGGTAATTAAGGTCATCGAGGCTTCCTTTCGAATAATTAATTAAATCATGATAACGGATTCACAGATGTTAGCAATGGAAAGGAGTGAAAGGAAAATGCAAAGGATAAATGAGCGATTTTCGCGCAAACGTCGAATGGGAACGTGCACATGGACGCACAGATGGCGCTCACCAACGACCCACATTGACCCACATTGACCCACATTGACCCACGCTGACCCACATTGACCCACATTGACCCACATTGACCCACATTGACCCACATTGACCCACGCTGACCCACGCTGTGGGTCAGCTAATTAAATGTCATTTTTAATGGAGGGTTCCAAAACAGACTCGAATTAATTTTAAAAGGATGAAGGCTAATTAAAGAAAAAAAATAAGTTGGAAAAAATCCATCAATGACGTTTAGAGGAACTGACCTTCAGATTTAAGGGCATCAGTCCCTCATGACGCCATCAGAATAAATGAGCCGGCACCAATAATATTGTTGATCGAGACATCGATGCCTGCGACCTTTTAGCTTTCGTCGAAGAGAAAGAGAAGAGATTGTCGGTAGGAATCCTAAGATATTTTTTAAGCGCGAAAAATGTGATAGGATTCCTGTGGGGATCCTACAGGATTCTCGTTGGATTCTGCAAGATTCCCATAGATTAATATATGATTTTTCGGGATTTTAATAGGATTCCTATGGGATCGCTTCATGAGCGGCTCCATTAAGTAAAGTTAAGTTCTGTTAAGTTGCACAACCCGAGTGCGATCGAAACTGAATGAGTTCGCGGAGCTCATCCTTTTTTTTTTGCAGAGCAGGAGGCAATGAAGGATGCCGTCGTTTTTTTTCTGCTTGAAATGAGGTCTCGAGAGAGAGATAATTTGTCTGGAGTTTCTTTTTAATAATGCAAATTGGAGATGATAATGTGAGGATGCCGGAGAAGCCGTTTTTATTACTCAAGCTCTCGAGAGCCTGAAAGGGAAAAAGCCGCATGTGTCACCATTAGCTGTCACCATTAGCATATCAGCGCCATTAACGTCACGAATCTAAAGAATGCCTCGGCTGCATTCGCCAAATGTGCAATTTGGCGACGAGCAGCGCCGAATCGTCCACGTGGCCGTCAGGAATTTTTCGCAGGCGTTAATATTCGCGTGCAAGTGCCAAATTCCTCGAGGAATTATTCCCGGGCGAAATTCATTTCCGGTGCGTCATTCCTCGGAGCGACATCTTCATTCTGCATTCGCCCTTCTCGCATGCAGAAGAATCTTAATGCAGCTCCCGCCCCCCCCCCGCCCCCTCCCGATCTGAACGAAATGCAATTCCACAGATTTTGCAACTATCAACGCCACCTGTGTTACATAGATGGCCCGGAAGATCCCAGGTCGTCCGATCGTTTCCAGGTGGATAGCAGAGACAATCCAATTGAAATTAAAATTTCTCATTAAAATAAAATAATAAAAAAAACAATAATAAAATGTTAATTTTGAGAATCTTATGTAATTGTATATTTTATTTACATATCTTATCATCTCAATGAATTAATTATTTGTAATTGATTGTGGAACCGATGGGAACAGACGAGGACGATGCAGTTTCTCCTCGACAAATGGCCTCCATATTTACCTTTTGTTTCAATTTCACTGAGAAATAAGTGAGGCGACAGATGTCGAAGTGGTCCGGTTGCCAAAAACTCGGAACTTCATAGAAGAACTCCGAAATTTTGTGTTGGCCATTGGTGCTGAATATTTTGATGCCGGGCACTGTAAAGCCAGTCAAAATGGAAAACTGACCTGAGGTTTTCCTCATTGAACACGTTTATATCCGATTCAGCGTCGGAGGCTGGACCTTTGGAGGCTGGACCTTTGGAGGCTGGACCTTTGGAGGCTGGACCTTTGGAGGCTGGACCTTTGGAGGCTGGACCTTTGGAGGCTGGACCTTTGGAGGCTGGACCTTTGGAGGCTGGAACTTTGGAGGCTGGAACTTTGGAGGCTGGACCTTTGGAGGCTGGAACTTTGGAGGCTGGACCTTTGGAGGCTGGAACTTTGGAGGCTGGAACTTTGGAGGCTGGACCTTTGGAGGCTGGCCATTGGAGGCTGGCGACCAGACTGGTCGGGCAGGGTGCCAGTCGCCATTGCCGCTGCTCTTGAGCATGCGCAGAAATTCTTCAAGCATTATTGCTTCCTATAATGCTGAATTTGCTCGAAATAAGAAGGCATGCTCTATTCGGTGCTGCAGCCACAGAGTCTGAGCAAAATTTCCTGGCGAAACCTCTCATTTCTCAACTGCGGCTGTAAGCCTGATTCGAGGAGTACATCTGGGCCACGATCCCCACAAAAGACGCGAAGGAAGTGCGCCAAAGAATGCCTCCGACGGATTCATGCTCTCCACTCAATAATGTGAACTCCTTGGAGAGCCTCTGCGTGGGTTCAACAAGAAAGCGACGGGGGTGAACGTCTTCTGGTCTGAAAGAAAAAGTCCACCAATATCCGCCTAGTGAAACAACCAAGTGGATAGGCGGTGGATTTGAAACCAGGTGGCCGTCCCCCCCTGGAGGACATCGCTCCAACAGGTGGAAATAACGCCTGCTGAGATATCCACCTGGATCCAAATCCACAGAAGAAGTGGAAATTTTTTGTAAGGGGGTGCCTGCAAATACGTTTCACTCCGACTCTCTTATCCTTGACGTTGAAGTTCAGTTCTCCCCATTCCATAAAAGATGCCATATTACGCATGAGCGGATAGAATAGATTTTGATTTTTGATACTCGGAAGCATTCAATCATAGCAAGCGCGACGTAGCAACTTAGCATTTCGCGGGTCTTCATCGAAGAGTTCAAGTTCGCTCAAGATGAGAGCCGTGAAGATGACGTGAACATCGTCCTAAATGAAGACTATACATATCTATGAATAACGACGCATCAACACTACTTCCTAGAAATGCAGAGCTGTAGCTAACATGATTTCAAACGTTACATCATTCTTCCGATTTAAAAGAATTTATGCAGCGGGCTACGTGCAGCCATTCCCTAGTTTCTGCATGTAGAAGGAAATATGAGTGCATAAAAGAGGAATTTTTCAGGATCCAGAAAAGGATGATACCTTGCCTCAGTTTGAGAATGGAGATGGCGTGGGAACGCATACGAACAACCGCTTGACTAAAGAAGGAAGAAAGTATGTTGGAGGCGTGAAGTAATCCGAGACGGGGAAGGCCAGCAAGGCGTGGAGTACCCAGACGATCTTCACGATCCAATGACTAGGCAATTGCCGCAATGCAACCTTCCGATTTTTCTCGGCCGAGTTCACTTTAAAATTTCCAACAAATCGGAGACGCAAGGTCCAAGACACGTGACATCACCACCCTGCTTAATCGAACTAATAGTTCTTTGAAGCCAAGAGATTGCAGCATATATGAATGCTTATAAAAAGTTGTCACAATTTCAGATGTGACTTGACCCATTCCACCCTATCTTCATGACAGTTCTTCCGAGCAACGCATCGTTAGACAAAGAGGTGTTGATAGTGTATTTATTTGATTTTTGAAGAAATTGAAATAACAATGATGAAATAACTTGCAAGGGGTCAAGCCGTTCTTGGACGGTGGTAAGGAAACGCGGAAAGTCGAATCCGGATTCACCCTAGGCTCCAATCCAATTCGGCCGGTTTCAACAATCCATCTCCGTTGGTGTCCATCGCAGACCACCAGTCCGTCGACTGCTGCAGCAAGGTCCTGTTCAACGAAGCCTTCGTCTCCAGGTAGTCTAGTGCTTCTTCGAACGAGATCCTCCGGTCACCGTCCCCGTCGATGTCGAGGAATTTCGCCTTCGAATTGCGAAGGTCATCCTGCCCCGGGTTCCTCTTGATTGTGCCGATGCTGCCGAAACTTCGTCGACCACAATCCTCTTGGGTGCAACCGCCATCGCAATTGCAGCAAAAAATGTTACACGGTCCATTACCGCAACAACTTAAATTCCACCATCCCCCACGTGGGCAACAAACAGCTTCCCCTTCCTCCACAATAAGGGCGAGAAGCGTAAATCCAAAGAGGAGAGCGAGTTTCATGGTCGATTTTCTGTGGAGAAAAAAGAAGAAAAACGGAGTTATCCTTCATATGATGAACAAAACGAAGTGGGGTGTGCGGGTGGACGAGAGGAAGGGGTGGTATCAGACAAAAACAGGGGAATGTAGGATTAAAAATTTTCAACGAAGAGGTCTCTCCACACCTTCTTTCAAAGAAGCAAATGATGTTTCACTGGATTTAAACACAATTATTTTTCAAAATGGATGCCGGAATCCCACAGATTCAGTCTTTACCGCAGTAAAAGAGATCTCATATGATTACTTATTATTCATGACAGAAAGTAGCCTTTCCGAAACAGGTCTACGGTACCGTTTCCATTTAACCCGTTTCCGAAGGGTTAGCAGGGATTAGAGGAAACATGCCGATGCTCTCATGAGGGGTGGTTTTTATCTTGCGGGTGGGGGTGGGGGTTGGGGAATTGACCTTGGTGCTTGCGACCCTGGCCTCGATGACACTGTGAATCCACCTCGTATATGAATCTCTTTAGTAAGAGATCTCAGAGAGGGAGAGCAAAAGAGAAAGGGAGGATGGGAAAAGAGAGAGAACTTACTGCTTTTGGAGTGGGATGAGCAGTGGTTGTAGCAATGATGGTCTGGAGGTTTTCGTTGGAAATGCCGTGCTGGGTATGGAGGAGAGAGACCATATATAGTCCAATGAATCCTTGAATGTACAAATTCATGGTGTGTGTGGTATTGGGCTGGGATCGAGTGATTTATGCATTTAATTGCATTCCCAGATAAAATAATGCACACCTGCACAGAAGTAGACGTCATAAATGACCCCAATCATAACCCGGATACAAACCAGGATATGATCTACGTTATGGGGTTCAGTGAGAGGTCAATGGAAAGAAAAATACATTAAGGTGTCAGCATACATGGTAGAAACATACTTAGATACAACATAACCAAAAGTAGAGGATTGGAAGATAAGGAATTCATCAGGTATATTTTTATCCTATGGGAGTGTCTACTGAATAAGTGCTTACAGACATGAAACTTTCTCAAGGTTTAGTTTAATGCGTGCAGCTTTCATTCTCTTATGAAGACAACTACTCGTATCTCGTCGTCGATGCAGGGCCTGCCTGGGATGGGATCTTTTTCGGTACAGAACGGTTCTGGAGAAAGGAGACGCTAGTTGAAATTTGCATTGCTTCAGCATGTGAATTCGAGTCATCGTCATGAAAAATGTGATGGAACTCGAATTACAGGCAAAAGGTGGCAGCGGCAGATCACACAGTACACCCATGTGGGGTGATACCGACATCATCATTGACATTTTTCTTTATTGGAAGTAAATGGTGTAAGCCTCCGTTACAGTTCACAAGGATATTCTGTTCCTAAACATCATCATCATGACATTCGAGCTCATTGCCACAATCGCCATTGTGAACGCTTCGGTTTAGCACGTTTACGTAAGACTAAAGACGACATTCCCGATTTCGTCTTCAAATCACATTCAATAGTCTTGCATCACCGATTAGCGCATGGGCTATTAGCGTTAGCGTATGGTACAGACACCAATGGTTCCGAAACAGTAGGGACCATTTCCAAGAACTTGTCCGACGGCACAGAGGGAAGTTGGTGCACGTGCAGCACAATGCTAACGACTAAATCCTGAAAATCCCTCACCGTCACATTTGCAGCAGTGAGCAACACATTCAGAACCTCTGAGTAAAGTGTGAGTTGCAGCAGGAGCATTTTTCCGTTGCGACAGTAATTTGAAGCAAATGCCCCCTCCCTACATCAAAATGAACAGTCTGACAGTACTCCCTGCGGCAAAAGACTGACATGGAGATTGAGATGACATGGAAAGGCATAACATCCTGAGTTCCGTGGTGTAATGGTAGCACACCTAACCGGCAAACAGAAGATCCGGGTTTAATTCCCGGCCGCCCCACGGCTTTCGACGCCTGAGTGCTGCGTTCCTTGCATCAAGTTGCCCAGCAGGCTGCACGGCTCTCCTATTCCGGAGCTCAGCATTCGCTGCCTCTTGCCGTTCAACGGTCTGAGCGGCCTTACGCTCTCGACTTACATCTGCTTGCTGTTCATCAATGATTCCAGCCATTACGGCTATCATCGATTTAGACATTTCGTACCGCAACTACAGTGGCAAACGTTGTTTCCGCGCCAGCACCAACCGTTTTTTTTTTTTACCAGCGACAACTTCGTCGCCGTCCTGAGGGACGTCCTTCAACGTTTCTTCGCGTTCAACCTCACCTCGCAATAATCGCCACCATTTTGATGGGAGGTGCTCCTCGGTTACGCGACATATGAAGCAGAGGCTTTTAGATTTTTATTTTTATTTCATCAATCATGAGAACTCAAATAAGTCGGCCATAACATGAAATCCAACCAGAAAACTATTGCATGGAAGTGATGGCGCGAAACCTGACCTAAAGAAAAAAAAATACAGAAAAATTACGTCAACAAAAATGCATTCAAATTGAGAAATTGCAGTCGACCTGTGAAAACGTGACACGAATTCAGTTAACTGTCTCTCTCAAAGGCTGTTACTAAGTATTAGGCATATGGAATTAATACAATGAACCAAAGCTTATGGCTTTGATGATATAGCCCGATAGACCTGGCGCTACGTGCGTTGGATGGCCAAGCCTTTGGCCTAGATTAGCATAGCCCATGGACCTGTCGCTTTGGGCGGTGGCTGGTCGAGCCCATGGCCAAGCCTGGCATAGCCTGGAATATGGCCTAAAATGATCAAGTTTTGTAGGCCTCGTTCGTTGCGGTGACAGCCACCGCCACAACTTCTTCCCAGCACATTCAATACTCTTGTAGTGACACACATTGTTTCCGCGCCAGGACCAAGCGTTTATTATCTATAGTGACTGCCTCATCGCCGTCCTGTAGGACGTCTTTCAACGTTTTATTTTGTCACGTTCACCCTCACCTCGCAAATATCGCCACCGTTTTGATGGGAGGAGCGGTCCCTTTGCGCGACGCATGAAGCAAAGGACTTATGTTATCATTTTGATTTCATCAATTATGAGAATTCAAATAAATCGAACATGACATGAAACGCAAACAGAAAAATATTGCATTGAAGCGATGTCCCGAATCGCCACGCCTGACCTAACGGAAAACAAGTACAGGAAAAGAACACCTCAGCAGAGAATGTATTCATATGAAGAACTTGCTGTCGATCATTGGAAACGTGACACGCATACAGTTATGACCATTCTTTGATTCTGTTAAGTATGAAGTCTATCGCTCAGACTGATGAAGCACGATAGCCCTGGCGCTAAAAGCGTTGGATGGCCAAGCCTATGGCCTAAAATAGCATAGCCTCAAGGAACTGGCGCTTTGATTGGTGGATGGCCTACCCTATGACTCAGAATGGCATTGCATCGTAGGCCCGGTCGTTGGGGATGGCAGCAACCAACACAACTTTTGGCCTCTTCGAATTAAAGTATTAGATACTTGAAAGTAGCCTTTCCGAAACATGGCGATGCTATCATGTGCAGTGGTTTTTTTATTCGGGGGGGGGGGCGGGAATTTAAGTCCTTGGAGTTTGTGACCCTGGCATCGATGACACTTTGTATCCATCGTGTACATGAATGTCTTTAGTTTTTGAAAGTTTAAAACTTTAGAAAGTCTTTAGTCTTTAGAGAGATGTTGGGATTGGAGAGAGAACTTATTGCTTCTGGAGTGGGAGAAGCAGTGGTAGTGGCATTGAAGTTCCGGACGTTCTCGTTGGAAATGCCGTGATGGGTGTGTAGGACCCCGACCAGTCCAGGGGGTCCTTGAATGTAAAAATTCCATGGTGTGTGTGGAATCGGACAGTGATCGAGTGATTTATGCATTTAGTTGCATTCCTCCCATAAAATCATGCACACCTGCCAAAGCGCAGAAGTAGACGTCATAAATGACCTCAATTATTACCCGGCTACAAACCAGGATGTGAACGATGTTATGGGATTCAGTGAAAGAAGATTGGAAAAAGAAAAAATATGCTTAGGTGCCACTATTCAAGGTATAAACATACGCAGATACAAAACGACCAAGAGTAGCGGAGGGGAAGAGAAGGAATTTCATCAGTTCAGTTCCAGATTCCATCAAGAGGTTGTCCTGAAGATTTGAGTAGTTCATGTCCCAGACTGCCAGCGCAAATGATTCTCGTGGGAAAAGGCGTTGGACAGTAGTTATTATGTGTTCTTCTATAGGACTGTATGATGAATAAGTGCTTGGAGACTTGGAAACTTTCCCCAGGTTCAGTTTAATGCGCACAACGTTCATTGTTCTTAATGAAAACCTCGTCGTCGATCCATGGACTACCTGTGATGAGTTCTTTATCGGTAGACAAAGTTCCCGGATAAAGAAGATATTACTCTGGATTGCTTCAGCCTGTGATTCCAATTCATCCTCAAGGAAAACGTTATGGAATTCGAATCGCAGGCGTTCCGTGGCGGAGGCAAATCACACAGTACACCCATCTGTGGTGATAACGACATCATCCTTGACATCTTTCTTTATTGGATGGAAATGGCCTAAGCCTCCAATATCTGACTTTCAGCTCATCACACATGGTATGGTCATGTCTTCGCTGCTATTCCAGGATACCGTACTCGAACCCAATTCAAAACTCTGGTCCGGAGATGCATTTCTTTGACTCAGTAGAAGTTATTTGTGAAACAATGTTGATTAATAATGATGAAATAATGAAGTTTAATAAGATTCAATAATCTGTGATGTTAAAGTAAGTCATTTCATGAATTAGAATCTCTGTGCAAAGATGCCTGAACCACTTGTTCGGAAAAATGTTCACCAGAGTGGGGCCCTGGATATTTATGTTTCTGTTTAGAAAAGGAACTGGGGACATGGTCTTTCTTTCACTAGATCGGAATTGCAACGGATACATGGGATGGGCAACGCTGTTAAGAGGGTTCGTTCGGAATCGTTCAAGCGATTGTCAGTGAAGTTTGAACGGTGATAGATCGGACTTGTTTGGAGGAGACTCATGCTGGTTTGATCCGCATTTTTATTCTTGCATCCACAGGGATTTTTTTTTTGCCTTGTCGATTTTCAACGTACTTGGGGCTAAAACCTAATGAAAATTCGGAAGATGGCCATTGATGTTGAAGAGTCCTCGTTTCCCTATTTTCGTCCAAGAATGTCTTCACCCCATAACATCCGTTTCTTAATTATTGCATTAATTTCTTTAAAAAGTTGCATATGTCCATTATCACTCCCGCATTTGTCGAATGTTTTATTGCTAGGAATGACTGTAACGAACACGAAAGAGGAATGTGCGGAGTCTTTGAAGAATTTGTATCAAAATTTGTTAACCATTCATATATGCTCTATCATCAATGTTTAAAGATGCGAGACGTATTTAATGATTTTTTTTTTATCTCACGAATCCCTGAATGAGGATCATAGGCTCGACACCCCAAGAAGAAATACTCCAGAACGCATCCCCAGGATGAAATATTCCTGGACATATTTTCCATCGCCAAAAAGTAACCGTATACTGCATCCTCCCTCCGGAAGGATATTTCCTCCCTTTTCCGCCTTCAATTTTATTTCCAGAGACTGTAAACTAGCGAACATCTTTTTCTCTTTCCCACTGGCTCATTTGATGCCCTGTCGCTATTCCCTGTACCGTTCAAGGTCATCTTCCATCTCGTCTGGTCTGGCATCATTGAGAGACAGACCTGCAACACTTTGTCCTTCTGAAACACATTTTTTAGTATCATCGTTTTGCTCTTTTCCACCGCCCAAGAAATAACGAGGAAACCTGGGAGGCGACAGTTGAGAGTGGGGAAGAAATAGGGAATGAACAAGTTACATAGAGGATTTCATAAAATCAAAAGAAAAACCATTTCCTGCTAAAGTATTGAGAAATTTCATGACATTTATTTGTGCAAGCACATCTCTATAGATACAGTGTTAGGAGAAATGTGAAAAATAAGATGTCCTCTCCCTGCTCCTCTCTGGGGAGAATTCATTTAGCTAGAGAGTAATTAAATATATTTAAACGTTGAAAAGGAATGTAGAGAGACTGAATCAAATGTCCTCTATTTTAATTTCTTAATATTTCTACAAATTGCGAATTTCTTTAGGTGAAATTCATGCAAATGATAGCCAAGTGGTGGGAAAATTTCGGGGCAAGTGGTTTTTGGGATGAAGGGAACACTTGTGCGCTGAATTCTTGCTTTCATCAAATTATATCCTGGTTTTAATGTATCCTGGCGTGCATCCTGGTTTTAATGGGAATTACATATGAGGTCTAGTTCTGCACCCCCTCAGGTGCGCTATATTTCAAGGCAGAAATGGAATTAATGGCACGAATATCTCGATCCCCGTCTGATACCACACATGGCCTGAATTTCTGTATTCATGGACACCCTGGACTATATAAAGGTCTGGGCCTCCACACCCATCAATGCATTTACAACGAGAACCTCTGGATCTGCATTGCCTCTTCCACCGCTTTCCCCACTTCCGAAGCAGTGAGTTCTATTTCCATCGTCCTCCTGTTCTCTCTCACCCTCTCTGAGACCTCTCCATGAACAAATCAATGTAAAATTTCACTTAGTTGTATGGCTGCACGTGGAGAACATTTTTGGAATGTTATAGCAGCATGGCTGACGGAAGATTTTCTCATGTGTTTCGGAAATGGCTACTTCTAGGATTTTGAGTAAAGAATGAAATGAATTATCCTTGACTTTTGGAAAGGGAGAATCATGGTATGTCGGCATCGATTTTTCAAAAAGAGTGGTATTCAAACATAGTGAAGCATCATATTCTCTGAATGACGCTGTGTGGTAGACGACTTGATTGTAGTTTTCATCCTGCACTTGCCGATTTTTCCCTGACCCCACGCCTTCCTCCGGCTAACCGTCCAGCCCACTTTGCCATTGCTATGAATTGAATCCTTTATTTTCTCTCCACAGGAAATCAACCATGAAACTCGTGATCCTCTTTGGGATTATCCTTCTCGCCGTCTACGTGGAAGAAGGGGAGGCGATTTGTTGCGCACGCGGGGGTTTTCTCGGTTTTGGCTGTTGCAGTTATAAACCGTGCAACATCTTTTGCTGCAATTGCGACGCCCAATGCAGGAATTATTGTGCCCGACGAAGTTTCGACAGTTTCCTCACCAAGAGGAACGCGGAGCAGGAGGAGCATGGACATCCGAAGTCGAAGTTCCACGACATCGACGGGGACGGTGACCGGAGGATCTCGTTCGAAGAAGCACTAGACTACCTGGAGACGAAGGCTTCGTTAAACAGGACCTTGCTGGAGCAGTCGACGGAGTGGTGGGCAACGATGGACACCGACGGAGATGGATTGTTGAAACCGGTCGAGTTGGATTCGAGCCTCGGATGATTCCTGATTCGGCTTCGCGCGTTTTCTTACTGTCGTCCAGGAACGCTTGGACCCCATTCAAATTCATTATTAACTATTTCTTCAGGAATTAAAGAAATTCCTCATGACTATGTGTATAATGATGTGTTGCACGGAACAGTTTCAACGAAAACGAAAGTGTAATTTGTGAAGTCACTGCAAAAATACTACCAAAATTTGCCTTCCATCCATAAATTCTACATCATCTTGCCTAAAGATTCGATACATGTTTCACATCTGAAAATCAAAGGAATCCCCGAAGCTGAATCATAAACTGCTGTCTGAACTCCCAGCCCTACGCGAACTTTGAGATCCTTTCCAACACTTAATTCAGTAATGTACTTGGGGAAAAGTAATTCCCATTTTTAGGTATAATGCTCCCCACACCGGAGACAGTTTGATCGTCGCCATCTCAGCGCACGTTGGACGCTTTCTGTCTATTTTATATAGTTACAAGAAACAACCAATTTGCTCTAGTTCTCTACGTGATTTCAGCCAATTCACTTCTGGAATATTAGCTTTTAATTCTCAGAATGTCCCGCACCGGACGAAACTCCCCGAACTCGTTTGGTGAGCGACATTCGTTCCTGTTCAAGTTCGAGAATGGAGTAACACCACACCGAGTCTGATTATTTTATTTCTTATAATAAATAAATCCCTGTCAATGAACATATTAGATCAAAAAAACTATATATCGACCTTGGAGGACAGTTCCAAAGCAAACAAAAAAAAAGTTTATTGAAACACAATTGAACAGAACCGGTCTGTCTCAGTTACAAAACAAATGAAATGATTTCAAGTCTTTACCGATTTCAGATAAAGATTTTCCCCAGACTTGATCCAATGAATGTACCTAACTCCTTAAAGGACCAAAGGGACACTTCAAAACTTTAGTTGCGGAGGAGAGAAAAAGAAGAAAATAATTTTGAGGGAGGTAACCAGGATGATGAGGAAGAGCCGGACCTAACTTATCTCTCCTTGCTCTTCCTCTGATGTTGACTTCACAGGAGGGGGTTACTAAATTTACCACCTTTCCCATTGGTCGACTAGGTTGCAGAAAACGTCTCCATTGTATGGAAGTCGATGACAAAGTCGTTTCCATTTAAGCGGTAGCCCAGTTTACAGTCCCCTTTTACATGTTGAATGAATGGGCTTGAAACGAGATACTTTCGCCAACTACTCGTCTCGACAGAATTTTAATCTTGATTTCAGCTACCATCAACTGACATGGATGTCAGAGCTGGACATCTGGAACGTCAGCAATTAGCAGCCATTAAGGGGAAGTTAGCTCAACATTCGGTTAAAGTGACACTTGTTTCACTTACTGATACAAATCCTCCTTACATATATTGGGTTGGAAAGAAAGTCTTGCAACACTTTCTAAAACTTTTCAAAGGAATGATGGGCGGGGCTTTGCATTTGTATATGCTGGAATGTTCTCGAAGCTTCTGCCCT